GCGAGGTGCAGCAGTAGGCAGGCAGCAGAGAGCAGCACCGCCCCAACTTGGTGAATGGACCCCACCAACCAATCCGTTCCATCAGAAAGAATGAAAGATAGAATAGAAAGAAGGAAGCCAGCTAATTTTTTTTTTAATTTTTTATTTTACATCGTCAATTCTTTCCCTCTCCCTCACGTGGGGCTTTCCCATCCTACCATACACGTGTATGTCTCTCCTTTCTTCTCCCCTTCTCCCCCGTACTTAGACGCGTGTCTTATCCCTTATGCCAGCATGATCTCCCCCTGACGTCCCGTTCTGCGTCACGCTCCCCGCCCTAGCGCCTAACGCCTCCCCTTCTTTTGTCTTTTTTTAGGCTTCGATTTCTGCTTTCGTTCTTCACAATTTTAGAACACATGGACTTAATATTCTTCATCATTGAAACCTTTGTACAACAATGAGCAACGCTCACTCTGAAATCCATTTTCATCTCTGCTTATAATTCTATCCTGTTGTGATACAGTTGAAAAAATTCCAGGCGCAGACTTCCTCTGGTGAGTTCCAGGAAGGCATTTTGTTTTGCCAGCCAAGAAGAGAGAGGGGAGAAAGAAAAGAAAAGGAGAAAATCCACAAACACTGGCAGTATATAATCATTTAAATGGGATTCTAACATCAATTTCCAAAGTAGAATATTCGTACAAATGCCATCCTCCATTGATTTTACTGAGCCTGTGATAGGGCCACGCCTTTACATTTTTTTTCTACTAGCTCGTTGATAAATGTGGCATAATAACAAATAACATGACAAATCTCAGTGGCTGCTGTTGAGACATTTACCTTTCTGATGCTCAAATAGAAGAGGGGAAAGGCATTTAGTGGGGAACATGTGGGGTTCACGAAAATCACGTAAAACCTGCTGAGGCAGACAAAGATAATGTCTCCATGTCTGCTAGAACCCCATTTTTTATGGCAAAATTTTTCATCTTAGGGAGTAAAGAAAACTATCTAGTTTTTATCGGTTTATGTAATTTTCAGTCTGTTCTCCCATTCCAAATTTCAACATCTTGGTTTTACTTAATAATGCCTTCATGTTCTTATATTAGATTAATTGATGAATGGTAATGTAGTTGGAATGCTAGTAGCTGCTGTATATGCATTATGGTATATAAATGTTTAAATTTTAAACGCAAATAACTTTTTGTTTTATAAAAAATTAAGGGTAAAAAGAATATTCAATTTTCATGTTAAAAATAAAAAATATCGTATTTAACAAGAATCATGTATTTAAAATTTGATCATTATTACGAAATTTAACTTAAACAATAATTTTTCGTCAAGAAGATCAATAATTTAACTAGAGATTGATATTAAAACAGAGTTACATGTGAGAATAAGAAAGTATTACATCTAACCTTATCAATCATTAAAACAAAAAATTAATGTGCATCCCCTAATGGCTATTACTCTGCTTTAGGCTGGTACGTTAAGAAAGTGTCCTTAATACCCTTTGGATGAAAGATATTCGGACTTGTACTACTTTTTAACACGTGGCTACGGCCTCTAGCGCTCTAGAGTTGTGGAAATAGCATTATCTCCAACCAAGCCGTGGTATTCTTTCAATGATTTTGCATTTTTTGTACCACAGCTATCCGTGAGCAGTTTATATCCTAATTTTGTAATTGCCAAATTCAAATAGGAAAGATAAAAATCAATAATAATGTGTGTAAAACAATAAAAAATTTTAAAATAAAAGATTTTATGTGATTTATTCATATTATTAACATGGAGTTTGGACCACTATAATTTCAGAGAACTCTTTATCGTTTCCCTTTGTTACCATATGTTGTGCAGAAATTTGAGATAGTCGTGTTCCATATGTAACTCCTGAGTGAGCTTAACAGGTTTGAAACTGCAGATCATCATAACCATTGACCACTAAGTTGTCCACAGCCTTGGCATGTATTTGAATAAGGAGAAAGATGGTCTATCTCAGAGAAACCTCTAATTAGAATTCTGCACCGTATAGAGACTATCAGTACTTTTCAGGAACAATTTATCAGGTATGAATCTTTGAAATCCCAGACCCAGACGAGTACAAGGTTCTTTTTTCAGGTTGCGGACAATTCCAATCCTTCTAGAGCCGAAGCCCCGGGGTTGGGAGAGTCTAACAAAGGACTAGGTGGCTCAACGTGACCTACCTTGAACAAAGTATAAATATATATTTATAATTTGCAAAGTGAACAGGGTCTTTAGTGTTGTTTCCAAGCAAGGACTTTTATTTTCTAGTGGGCTACCTAACTGCACTATGATTGAGACCCGGCTAGGACGCCAAACGCTTCCCCCAATCAGCCAACAGAGTTTTCTTCTAGTGTGGTCATGTTCGCGCCTTTGGGTTGTTAGATGTTTTGGTTGCTGTTCAAGGTCCAGTCTCCAGACTCTCTCCCTTCATTGTGGCCTTAACTCCATAGAACTTCCAACTCCAAAGTCACATGCTTGAATCATCCCATAAAAAAATTTCTTCAGTCTAAAAATCCAAAACAGGTGTCAAAGGAATGGAAAATGAGGGAAGTTGTTCTTCCTCTCTTTGGACGGAAAAGAGAAAACCCAAACGGTCTAATATTGCAGCATTGGGCAGACTAACCCACGAGTGGTTGTATTTGTCTCCAGTCTTCAAAGATGACCAAATTGCGTCAGATTGCAATCTACTTTCATCACTGCTTACGTACTCTAACTTACACGACTAGAACACAATCAAAGTTAAGAAAGATGATTGTATTTTAAGTGGGAAAAGATGCTTCAACAGCCTGAGCTGAAACTTGAAAGGAGCTTTTGCATATATAAAATTATATTCGTACTCTGAGATTATTATATAGGAAGGCAAGGTTCTTGCTTAATTCCTCTTTTAGCATGTGTTAATAATTTAACTAATCTTGCATTGAGACAAGATTATAATATGCTGTACATATAGTATATGTGAATATATGTATGTTTCCTCAAAGAAAGGACGGCGATCATATGAAAAGCTTTCTGTCTTTTGAAGCTGGTTCGAAATTGAATGGGGAGAGACAGAAAGAGAGAGAGGGAGAAGAAGAGTCCCATGACTTGCCAAAAAAATAAAAGAAAAAAAAAGGAGGCTGGTGTCAGTTAATTTAAAACCAAGGAGCGCAGTGCGGTCTCTCTCACATGAGTCATGACTCAGAGGACAAGTGAAAGAGAGTGAGTGAGGGGTGGATGGATAGAGATCAGAAACAATCATCATTGCTAAAAACCAGATTATTCTCTGGCATGGGCCACCATGATTCCAAAAGAGAAAGATCACATGTCATTACCCACATCTCCCTCAAACATGTCCTCTTCCTGCAAATTGCCATAGCCTAATCATCCCCCTGTTACTTGTTTTCCAAATATTTCATCATTATCATGTTTTTCTTGATAGGGTTATTATTTGCAACCTCCTTTTCCTACCCATCTCCCTAATTCTCATGTTTAATCATTCCCTCAAGCTTTCAGAATGATTCACAAAAATTTTTAACCCCAACTCCCTCCCTCTCCTTCTCTCATTCATATGCCATTCATGTACATCTCTGTATATGCCAATGAGTAGGCTAAAAGATCTACCATGTGAAGCAAAATCTAGGACAACCAATCAACATATCAAAAAGAATTAATGATCATTGACTTTTAGGTAGATAGCATCTCATTGCTTTATTAGTTCATCAATTAGTTATTGTAATCCATCTCTAATTATTCCATAAACACATCTAGACCTCTTTGCAATTAAGTTTAGATAAATCAAAAGTGTAGTACCTAAATTTCCCAAAATCTATATATAAACCATCCACGCAAAGAATCTTTCTCTTATCTAATGAACAAATGGCGTGTTTAGCTCACAAGCTTATTACTATATAATATGTCCATTGGTATACTTTTCCATAGTATATTTTTTCCGGATTTATAATAATGGCAGCTGTTTTAATGCTTCCGGCCACAATTCATGAAGAATAGCTTAATTTTGTCTTCGGCTATACCTTTGGCTCTCATTTGCTAAATTGGTTAATGTTCTTAATTAAAATGGAATAACTTTATAGATTTTTCTCTCCTTTTTTCTTTTAATAATAATGTTTGTCTATATATGTATTACATATATTCGTCCTTCGATATCATTTGCGATTCTAATATTAGAATTCAAAAGAAAAATAATGGATTTTTGGTTTCTACACTTTCTAGATTGGAAAAAGAGATTAAAGTTAAATTGAAAATCATAAAATTGCCCTAGATTATACGCAGTTGAACAACTTTGATCCTTATTATATCTTCATGTTAACGGCACCCCTTTGAACTAATAATTTAAGAGAATAATGTAGAATATAAATCAAACCTAAAATCAAATGAAGGACAAGAAAGGAGAATAATAACAATTATTGAAATAATAGGAGCCATTTTTAACTTGTAGTTTATGATTGCGGCAGGTAAGGATTCCTTTAATCTTGCCACCGATTGCTCCGCACCATCTCTCTACAGTTAAAAAGGTGACTCAGCAAAAGGATGCATCATGGAAGAGACCCATGATATGGGAATGGGAAAAGAATTATTAATCATATCAATAATATTGGAATTATTAGATATGAAGAAAATATAACCTTATTAATTTTCTTTTTAATTTCTAATTTAGTTGTAAGTTGAATAAGTTAAAATTAAAGCCTGTGTGAAGGGCCACGCATGGCCCTATGATAAGCAGTTCCCGAGAGAAACCAGACTTAGGACCACTTGCAAATCGATAGACAAGGACCATGGGTGGTTGGGGGGAGGATTTAAGGAATACAACAGGCCTTTTATTAACAGCACCGACCTATTTACGTTCTCCGCACTAGACAAGGTACGAGGAAGAGAAGGTTGCTAGTTGCGATTTCCATGTTTCATATCATAGATGTTGCAGTTCCCCAACCCAAAATTATTGAAAACAGAAATATTATAAGTACGAAGAGAATTATTCTAAAATCCAAACCATTAGTTAAGTGGTATAAAAGAAAAAAAAAATAATTCGTGAGTTCTTTAAATTAAATTGTGTACTATGTAAGTGTTTAATCCCAATAAAGAAGAAGGACAAAATATATCTGCACATATCTGACTGAAACTAATAAGTATTTTGATGGAACGTATGTTAATTAAATTTCTTATTTATTTCTAAAATGAACAAAAAGAAAAAGAGAGAGAGAGAGAGATAGAGAGAGGGAGAATACGATTACTGCTGCCAAACCCTCTTCACATTTAAATTCTAGTTTCTTCTTCATGGATATTTTCTGCACTTTAATCAAGTTTCTAGTAAGTAATTCTACTCTGCAGGACAAATCCATGAATCAACTGTACCTTCAGCTCTAGAAGAAACGTTGTCTAACCCCTTGTCATGGTGAAAATCTGATGAGGAAGCCGAGAAGTTCAACTTGCAGCTGTTATTAACTCTTTGTGAATTTTGATGATCATGACCATAATTCCCATCTAAAGGCCTCAAATGATCTTGATTCCCATCGTTCAAACCAACCCCATCTCTCCAGTTGCTATCACTCCTTAGACGTGGCCCGTCTGGTGTTACATGACTTTGTAATCCACCGAGGTTTGCATTAACATGACCATGACTCATGCCCAATTCGTCAAGGGAAGGCATGGCTGAGCTTCCCTGGGACTTCACACCAAAACCAGGCAAGTTAAGAGAAGGGTGAAGAGTAGGAGGCTGTAAGAAGGACTGGAAAGATAGGACGGGGCTTTGGTTCTGCAAGTTTAACATATTCTGAGGCTGCTTTAGTAGGCTTAAATCGGAAGGGAGTTGATAGTTACTAGAAGTTGGATTGAAAGCATTAGTTGTGGCAGCGATAGAAGTGGGAATGGTGCTATTGCTTGTAGTATTGGTAATATTAGCAGCATCAACTAAAGGATTATTTAACAATGAAGGAGAAGACGAGGATACAAATGGAGTAGGCTGAACCCTTTTAGCTGAGGGACGTAGAGGGTAGAGAGAACCTAAAGGTTCCAAATGACTAGACCGCATACCTGAGCCAGAGCCAAAAAGATCGAGCCTACGAGAATATGATGAACCCGAAAATGGTGGTGCAGGGATTCCAGTGAATTCTTGCACCATTGCTCTAAAATTCGTTGTGTCGGTGGTGAGAACTGTAGTGGGTGCTCTCCTTGATGCTCTTGTTCGCTTCTTGGGGTTCTTGACAACACTTGTCTGATCAGATTGTGCTAAAGATCTTGCACCATTGTCATGAGCTGGCCTTGATTGCATCGATGATGAGCTTGGGAATGAACCTTGGTTGAGTCCTTGCGCACCTAACATAGACTGGCTTGATGATGATGAGCCTGGTAGGTTACCGAGGTCAGTGCAGTTGGGCTCAGATCTTAGACCCCGGGGCCTAACCCCGCCGTCAAGATTTAGCAGTGAATTGTTTGGCTGGGATTGAGAGAAGGGGTTGAGATAGTTTGATGACGGATCAAAGAAAGTGGGTGGGTGGTCTTGGTGGTGCGAGACAAGTGACGGATGTGGATTTGATAAGGGATTAAAGTGGCCTGAAGTGTTCAAAAAAGCTGGAAGTGACTCTGGCCGTGAATCATACTCTTCATCACCACCACTCGAAGATTGCATACTACTACTGTTACCAGAATCCATGGCCAAAAGCTTTGATTGTTTAAACGTGCAACAAGATATATATATATATATATATATATATATAAACAGTTGAAAAAACCTGCAAAGGCGCCGGGGATGGTGATAATTGCACAGTTGCAAAGATAGAAACAAAGCAATTATGAAGACACTGCAGAAGGACCGAAGAAATGAATGAAAAGAAAATACATCCTTCTAAAACAGCTTTGAGAAAGTTGCCATATCCTTAAAGCTACCCTTGATGATAACGATCTTCGTAGGAGGCTGCAGTCTCTTTCCTCCTGTCTTTCACCCGGAGAAGAAAACCTTTCTCTAAAAAGAAGAGAGAATATTATACTAGTTTTTCAAACACGACAAGCAAAAAGGAAAGTTTTTCTCTTCTTCTCCTTCCTCCCTCTCTGATCACCCCATACGATCTGAATTAGGGTTTCGGGAGCAGGAAAAGAGAAAAATGAAAGGAGAGGAAAGGTTATTTAAGCTTTTTGCTCTAAAAAGAGAGAGAGAAACTGGGGAGCTCAAACTCAACATATGTTTCCACTAAGAAGATCCTCTCTAGAGAGTGCGGGGTGGGGTCGCCATTGGAGTAGAGAAAGAGTTGCCGGTGGCTGGCAACGGGTCAAACTCAAAGTGAATGAGAAAGAGAGAGGTTGGCTTAATATGTTTATGAATGTGAAAGCAAAGACAAGGATGTGAGATTAATTTTAAAGTTTACAGCAAAAGATATAATAATTAAAAGAATTATACTGGATGCACAGACTTTGGAAAAAGGAGAAAACTAAATAGATAAAAAGGACGGATAATATAAAGTGGCAATATGAAGAGAACAAAACCATTGCCCCCCTGTGCAAGGATCACTATTCAAAATTCTCACTTATGTTCACATTAACTACTTAATTATTTAAAACCCTTTTCTCCTTTTTTTCAATGATTTATGTATATATCAAAAAAATCTCTTAACGTTCTAGATTTGGGATTTTAGTCCGTGAGAATCAGTAAAGTATCTGTTCGTATGAACAATTAATTAAATTAAAATATTTAATTAATAGACATTCCCTTTCTTCCTCTTCTTGTATGGTGATTGCGTAGGCAAAAATATAATAAGAAAAATGTTCAGTTTTCGTGAATTTGGTGTACGGAAGATACGGTTGTTATGTAACGCAACGCAGGGACGTACAAGGTGCAACAATTATAGAAGGGATTTTCTACCAATTTCCGTAAGTTCAGTATTATATTTGTATAATATTATACCATACCTCAGCCTTTGACCAAGTCAGAATTCAGAAACAAAATCTAAGCTATAATTGAGCTACATCAGAGAATCTTTTACCATTTACACCATCTGAGATTGGTATTGAGAAAATATTGATGTTCCTTTCATTTCCCTCTTCCCCTCTATTTATTTCCAAGGCATGCATATAACTTTGGATTGGTAATATATATCCCACTCCTCATCCCCGTCATTATTATTTAATCTTCTTCAAGTATATATAACATTCAAAGTTTGCTAGTATTTTTCAAACAAATGATATGTATATCTAACTAAAAAAATTTTCAAAAATACAATGAGGTCCTTGTCACCACATCGTACTACATATTTATCTTATTTATCGTTGTGGAATGGGTGTTGGCTTGCCCTACCCAACCAAATCTCCTATTAAACCCGAAAGGATCCAAATCGAAGTCTCTTACGTCTTTTATGCCCACACGGGAATATTAAAATTTGTTGGGTCTCCATCGTTTTGTCCCAATATGATTTGCTGCCTTTCTTTCACATCCATCTTTCTTCACAGCCTTGTACAAACACATGTGACTGTTGGACCTTTGCTGGGAGACAAGGGTTTTACTAGTAGCTAGTATTTGTTTATCGTCTGCCAAAATATATTCTCAATTCTCCCATCTACCTTGCCTTTTTTCTTTCCTTTTCCTTTTAACCTCTTCAATTACTTTGTTTGCCCTTTTATAACATGTTGAAAGATCGATATTGTAGCATATAATCTTTCTAGCAAGGATGTATAATGAATGGAGAGCAATCAATGTCTTGGTCCTTTGCATTCAAAAGCATGGCGCCTCCTTAAGAGAGATAAATTTTGAACATGTTTAACAATTCTTGAAAGGGATTTTTTATTTGATAAAATTGGGTAATAGGCTAATAGCTTTTGAAGGTATGTTTAATTTCAGTATGATCTAGACTTTAATGGATCTTTATCATGTATAATCTAATTATTTTCGTTGAAAGAAAGTTTTATTGAATATAAAGTATAAATAAATAAAACTAATTAAAGATTAGTGATCTATATATATATATTTATCGGTGAGATTAAAGAATTAATATGTGTTCATTTCATATCCTATTTTTTATTAATTTATATAAATATAATTTAACAAGACACTTAGTCAATCTTTTAAACCTGTTGATGAAATTTAAAACTTCATCGAATCATTTATTTTTAAAAAATAATTGCTAAACTCGAAAGTGCATTTGAGCATCAACTGTCATTAATTAGGTTTAATTACCAAACAAGAAAAAACAGAAAAAACAAGAATTGGGTTTTTATTAGGACACAGATTTTTGATCTTAGGCTGGCGTCCAACTGCCCCCCACACATTTCACAAGGTATCTATCTTACACGCAAATGTTGCTCCCCATGTTTGAAAATTTTTGGCTCACCTAAGCCACAAGAATATTGCCACCAACACGTAGGTACGAGTTCTCTTGAGCTGGCGGGCAAACATTGCTGATTCAGCCAAAATGGAAACTCCGATTTTCTGGATAGCAAAATCCATTGAAATTAAATTACCATAAGCTTAATGGTGCTCGTAGTCTTGTAGTCGCTTAATAATGCCAAGCACCGCCTCCATTTACGTATCAGAAGATAGCTAGTCGTCCGACTTTTTTGACCTCTGCTCTTCAAACTAACTCTGGCTTCGCCTCAATTCTTCAACATTATTGATCCTTTCTACGCACATGGCATCCATAATATGTTGCCACTTCCTTTCAAACCTCTAATCGTTTCAATTCTGAGTATTGATGCCATTCACATTATAGAAGAAGAGCATATGCGGATACCTGGACGTATACATATGCACATTCCTTAGCCAAATTGCAAATGAAAATTTCTTACCGTAACTTTTTTCTTCTGTCTTTTCTGTTTGCTCAAGTAGGTGGCTGAACCTTTTGAGAAGCGGATTCAATGTCAAAACGCGTTATATAAAAATGGTTTATTTTTTGTACTATATAGTACACATATCTTCGCTTATAAGAAGCTACGAAGGTACATCAAGGGGAGAAAACAACTTTTACACTCACACTCTGTTTCGAATCTCTATATTGCCAGTCAATTTGCAGCACTTTTTTTTTATTGTCTATAAATAAGTTTGAGATTACAAATTCTATCCCCATCCTTTAGCTGCTGACAAAGCCTTGCATCGGGTTGTGGTATGGATGGCCTGTGCAACAGCACCGTTTAGGATCATAGTGTTCGCTGCAAAATGCACTGATAATCTGATTCGACCTCCCCATTTAGTCTATCAAGAATTCCCAACTTTGTACTCTTTGTTTTATGATGATACTTTACTCTGTAGCCTGTGGATTCTGTACAGACGCTGAGACGCCCCCAATGTTGACATTCTCATCTAGTTTTAGTGAAGTTGAGTATCATTTCCATATTTTAGCACATAATGATGGTCTGCACAGCTACTTCTTTGACAAGTTCATTGTTTTCTTTAACTAATTAACCTGGTAAGAACTTTAATAGTATATGGAATATGGATGACTTGATTGGAAATATTTCACTGCGTACGTAGTTTTTGATATATAGAATGAAGCAAAGGATTTAAGATGTTCAGAGAGAACATTAAATGTAAAACTTGGTGATTAAATTTGGAAATGTTGATGCTTCAAATGATGGGGATGAAGAAAAAATGACAGTGGCGGATATCATGGAAAATCAAACAAGGTCAATGCTCCAGTGCTCCTTTAGTGGAGAGTAAGTTAGGGAAAGACATACCAATGCCAGGATCTTTTTGGTAGAAGACTAAAATGCTTTGCTTGAATTTTGGTTTTTGTTCATTAACTTTCAGGTGATGCCACTGTTAGTGCATGCCATTCATAAATTACTTCTCATGGACTATCTTTTAAGGTTAATTAAATATACACTACACAAAAAAGCATGAAATCTTTCTTTTATTAATGATTAACCCAGATTTTAAATCGTTTAAAACTCAATTTTACTTATCTCAAAATCTAAGAAAAAGGAAAAAAAAGTAGGTTTGGTAATGATTAATTATCATGCGAGTTTAAAAGAGTCGTTTTATTTCTTAGCTAAGCAAAAGAAAAAGCGCCTAATAATGTTCATGAGCCCAGTGGGCCTAGTCTTAATTTACTGCAATTCTTTTCCACATCCTCCTAAGGTGGGCCGCGGGCGCCGACATGAAACCGCCACAAATAGGGAAGCCGATCTTCGATATCATCTTGGATTCTCCAGGGTTTTTTTATCCCCCTCAATTTACCGATGTGGAATATTTGCTTTCAATTTATACTCCATGCTATCTTTCTGAGTTTTTACTGTCACGGTCACTTTTAGTTGCAATTGCTACCATCTCCTTCATGTCATTTGCTGCTGCATCTATTGATCCAAGTAACTCTTTCTTTACACAAGTAGTATTCTATTTGCCCAGAGTCCATGGTATTACTCTACAAAATCTCTTGCAAGTTTGTAGTTGACAAGAATTTACTGCAACGATTATATACACATCAACTTAGTTGATAGTGGGGCTTTTGATGGGGATGGAATAATAAAGAATAAGAAAACCATACAGATTTTGTCAAAAATTGATCAGTAATGGTTACTGATATTGCAAAATTTTCTTTGTTAGATAACTTGAAGCAATACTTGCTTCAAGTTATCGTCCTCTCATGTCATGTAAAACCATAATATTACCAGGTTGTTGAGTCCTATCATGATTCAATAAGTTGTTCTTTTTCACTTTTTTGTGACAAGCATGTGCCCTTCTTCAATAGGGAAAATTCTCTTGTTTTTTTGACATAATTTTGAAGTTTTACCCAGTTTTGCTATCATTATGGCAAGCTTTTACTGTCAAGTCAGTGATTAGATTTGTTTTAATGATATACAACCTACTCCATTTAGACGGAAAACTAGCAGTTATTGTCAAGTTAGTGAT